TTCTGGACAACTTGAGGGAGGGTGAGTGTGAGGGGACGATTACACGTGTATATATAAACCAGATGGGAGTAAAGACAACAGAGGAGGATTTTTCTTAAGGATGCTCAGGGAGCAGATAAACAGAAATAGCACAAATAGAATCACAACGAATACGATTTAAACATTTTAAAAATCCCACACTTTTGCTGTAAGCGTGGTCAAACAGTTGAGCAGGTTGCTCAGAGAGGTTCTGGAGACTTTGTTCCTAAAGATATGCAAATCCTAACTGGTTATGGTCCTGGGCAACCTACTCTAAGAGACCCTGCTTTGATGGATCAGTTAGATGATCTCAGAGGTACCAGTCACGGAAATGTGGTAGCTCTGTAAATGAACAACCTTGGATAAAAATAACAGAGATTAGGAAAACAAAACAAAACAAAACAAATCACAGAAGGAAAATATGTATTCTGAGATTAAATTTCATTTAACGCAAAAAATGTTATTCTAAATTCCTATTCCTAATCTAGATTCCTATTCTGTCTTGTTTTAGCTACATATTTGGTAGTGCTCATTGTAAGAAGAATATATGTGGTAGTGGAAAGACTACTTAAATGTGAGAAACCTAGTAGGGAAGAAGGAAACAGGAGACTTCATGGAAGCTATTTAGTAAATGTGAAGCAACAGAAGCTCTCCTGAGCTCTGAACACCGCTTGACACAATGCAGGGCCACAGAGCTCTGAGAACATCTGTGTCTTTCTATAAATGTCTTGCCTTGGAAGGGAAACCTTGCTGTATATCTAAGGCTGTATCATTGGAAAATCTAATAAATAGAACTGTGAGGATGGTATCAATAGAATGTGGATAAAAAACATGACAGAGGATGCACTATGGATCAGTTCTACAAGCCTGTCTGACAAACACTATGGGAACTGTATAAACCTCAGGTGTCAAAAACAGTCCTCATGGGTATCCAAAGCCTGTAACTACTCACACAGGGAGCTAGTTAGATTTTCAATTTTGTAAAAAGATTTTGTTCTACTGATGTGAGGTAAACAGCTGGCCTGTTGAGGTCTAGTGCACCCTCTGGTCTTTGTCAGCTTGCAGATCACATTGCTTGCCCCAGTGTGAAGCTGAGCTAATACCAAAATAATTACACAGCACCATATCCACTGATTTCAGAAATCTAAGCAACAGGTCTGAAGAGCTACTCCCTTTCTACTAAACATTCAATTAAATGAGTCAAATGTTTTTCAACCAAATACATTAAAATTAATTTCTTTAGAAATCCATCACCACTGAAGATGGAATGCCATTGCTCTAGTTCATTATTTCCTAGGAACTTAGTTAAACTCACATGAGTATTTAAATTAATATACTTACTTCTTCATCTGTTTCCTTGGACTGCTTTATTCATGAACTGTGTTTTTTCTCTTGCTCTTCTATGAAACTGACTGCACTATTGCTAGGGGAAATAGTTTTACCATGTGTATTAATTTTATTAAACTGAATCTCAGTGTTTCTGCTGCCCTTCATTTAAAGCAGTTTCTCTTTGAGATAAACTGTAAGGAAACTTCTGGGTCAGATCCTGGAATCTGACTCAGATTGATGTGTCTCAGTACTCTCTGACTTTGGCTAACTATCATGGTTCAGTTCATCCTTCAGTTTCATCCTTCAATTCCACATCACCAAAAGGGTGGGGACAATATGTCTTTTCTGCTGGCCTTGACTCTTGTCTGTGAAGAGGACAAGACCTCTGCAAAAAGCACCATCTCTCTTGGCAAGCACCCCAACATGGCCTGTAAGGTCATGAACAAATTGACTGAGAGGTCATGCTGCAGCTGGTTGACTCAGTACAGAGAGATGGCCAGTGTTCAACCAAGACAAAGAAGGTCCCTGGAAACCTTTGTCCTGAGTTTTGAATCTTACAGCAGTGCTGAAGAGGGTGATCTTTACACTAATCTATGCAGGCTGAACTGGTTCAATTAGGAGATATTTTCACAAATTTTAATCAATGTCCAGCCTCTGCAAGGCTCATCCACAGCAGTGACCTCCCAGGATGAGTAGGCGTTTTAACAGTGTTGTGTGTATACAGGTTGCCTTGTCCAGTCCTTGTGTTTGTTCTTTGCAAAAACACAAAATAACCAAGAAAATTATAAATCTTTGTTTGTGATATGATTATTTGGCTAGAAAATTTGTCTCTGTGTATGTATACAAGAACAATGATAATATTAATCCACTTATGACAATTTTTCTTAATTGCATTCATTTTAAAAGATAGCTATATTATATGGGGTATCCAGTTCCTGTCCCTTCCTTACACAAAAATAATCAATGATCTTTCTTCTTTAATTTTGAAAAACACAAAAACTTTTTGCTTGCTTTGGCAATGTTCTGGGATGTAATAATGTACAGAAGTCTAGCATAAACTATAATAACAAAAAGAAGAAGAAGAAGAAGAAATACTGTTATTTCATAGTTTCTGGTAACTTCTTCAATATGCCAAGCCCTAAAGGTAAAAGCTTTCCACACCCACACTGCATTGCTGTCTGGCTGGCATATGTGAAAGGCAAGCACTTCAGGAGAGGAGTTAGGTGACCGTGCACCCCAGGAACACTTCTCCAGAACACTTATACCAGTTGCAGAATACTGGCAGGTCTTTTCTTTGTTCAGCCTGCAGGGATGAGCATTTGGAGAACCTTTTGGGCCCACCAGAACCTAGTGATATTCTGATAATCTGTATTTTAGCCACCCTCTGACCTGGAAATCTTGCCCACATCTTTGAAAAATAAAATTTTCAGTGAAATGCAATAAAAGCTCTATTACCCCAGGAACTTAGGTACTAACCTAGAAAACCTAGTAAGAACAAAAGGAGAGAGAGAAAGAGAGGTGCTGAAACTGACACCACAGAGTGCTAGTAGAGTACCAGACAGAGCAGGGGGTGATTAGAAGTACAGTGGGAAGAAGAAACAACACAGTCATGAAGAAGTTAAATTAATATAATTAAATGGGAACTAATGAGATTAGCCAAAATTCTAATGATACAGTCAGAAGGATGGGAAATTAGATGGCATTCACCTCCTGTGAGAAAGAAAAATGTGCATGTGCAGAAAGTCAGGACAAAGAAACACAAGGACATGGATGGGAAGTCCTCTGTGTACATATGGTATAGTCCCTCTGAAAGCATTTGACTAGAACAAGAGGTAGCTAGGATTCAAGATGAGGAGGGATCAAGGCTGAACAAGGTCATGGGTCTGAACGACAACAGCCCATGGTGCTGACAGTAATAGCCACTGTCTCCTCTCAGAAACTCCTCACAAGCTTCAGTTTTTCCCATGACCAGCCTTGGAAAATATTTATCTGGCCTGAATGGCATAACATTCCTGTTCTCACACTTTCAAACAAACTGCCAACCCAAACCATGGCCAGGATGAAACACTGTAATGACTGAAGTTCACTCTCATGAGACCCTATAAACAGCAGTCCAGAGTGGGACCCATCTGGAGATGCAAAAGCATCTGAAGTGAGTATATTCACTGACCTCTGAGGGGAATTTTTCCACAGGTACCTTATCTTGCACCATGTCTGCACACATACTCTTTGCGCATATGTCTAGAAGTTAGGTTAAGTTATAGTTATAATTTAGCATAAATGCTGTTAAGTGCTACTTCTCTGTTAGATTGTTAAAGTTAAGCTATAAATAAAGGCATAAGTTAGGTTAAAGTACTGTTAAGTGTTGTAAAGCTTTAGGATGCATTCTTTTTCTTTCTTGCTTACATTGTCTTTACACACAGACACACACATAGACTTAGGTATTTTCAATTAATTTCTGTTTTAATAGCCTGGATCTTGTTTGGTTTTGTTATTGCTTGCTTCCCCCCTTGTTGTGCCTCAGGTGTCCTTTGTAAGTAGAGTGAATCTTGACAATGAATTTGTTGTGCTTTATAGTTTAATATTCAATCAGACTTTTGCTCATACACTTGAAGGTGATTTTTTGAGCAATCTCAAACAAACTTGTTCAGGACATATAAGAAGGTGGTTTTAGAACAGAATGGTTTCAAAAAGGATTGGTTTTAACAATGCCAAAGGAGTCAAAATTAGCAAGGGATGGCAGTAGAGTCAGTTGGACTCCACACATGGTTGGAGACATGGTAGTAGAACTTTTAACGGGCCATTAATGCATCAGTGTCATCACTGAGGATGATGACAGAGGAGGAGTGAGGAGTGAGAACTGGTACCAAAATCACATCTCTGCCCAGAGACTTCTCCAGGATGTAAAAAAAGAAGGAAAAGAAAAATATCACATTTCTGTGGAAAATCAGACAGAACACAAATACCTAATAAAAATATACCAATGGCTGGACATTTTCATTTCTTGGAAGAGACATCAGGTTTTCTTCCTCTTATGGGGTGAATATTTGGCAGGCTGCATTCTCTTGTTTAGGAGTAGTAATTACCAACTAAGTAATTTGAGTAAGTAAATGAAATATTCACATTCATAGTTTGCTTTCAGGCAATAAGTTCCTTATTAATATTTACTTACTTAATATTCACAACCACTTGCAGTAATTTGCAGTCCCCTCAAGTAAACAAAAAATAATAGAAAATATTATTCTAATAATTTTTAACTACTGTGTAACTTATTCCCCTCTTTCAGAATTCATTTGCTATACTTTAATTACACTCCTCTACTAAAATGTGTTTCAAAGCACTTCATACAAAGGCTAAACAAAACAACATCCTAAACTTGTGCCATTTATTGTGACAATCTGTCAACTTGTTGTGACAGGCGTAACAGATTGGTAGCAAAAGCTGAGCAGCAAAGGCTGGCTGACTGACTTTTGTTTTAATAGATTATACTCTTGCTTGGCTACATTTTTAAGAGTTATCAGAACTAGAAAGACCATTTTCAAAATAATTAAAAACTCCTTAAAGCTGCAATGTAAGTGGTGTTGCAGTCTTGGGGAAGAGGCAAACCATAGCTTTATCATCCACACAAGGCCATAGAGGAGACATGAACTTACTTGCTTGCATGCAGGAAACCTGGGGTGCAGATTTCTTCCTTATTCAGTACAGGTTGTTTGATAGTTTGAGTCGGGGCTGGGCTGAAGATGATGACACTGAGTCACTGTTAAAAATCAGTTTCCCATCTTCTCCTTCTGAAGGCAGTCTCTCAAGGCTTGGCCAAGAAATCAGATCACTGTTCTCATTTCCTGTGCTGTGAGGTGTGGGTTTGGAGTCATCGAGTCATACAATATCCTGAGTCAGAAGGGACACACCAGGATCATCAAGTCCAGCTTCTGACCCTGCACAGGACACCCCAAGAGTCACAGCACAAGTCAGCACAAGTCACAGCTGCATAGTCCAACCACTCCCAGGGGAGGTATGGATAGGCTGGGGAGAAAAAAAAACCAGTATTAAATACATACTCCTTTGGCAAGAAGAGGCACTTTAGGTATCACTGCATAGCTGAAGCACTCAGACAGACATAGGCCCTGCAAAAAAATCACTATTTTGCTCAAATGTGTGGAAACCATGAACCTGGAAACTTCTTGCTGGGAAACAGAATTGCTAGTAAGAAGTTTCTGGAAACAAAAATGTCAGACAGCCCCTGGCTGGCTCTGCTCATGACTTCAGAACCATCAAAGGCCAAAGAAATTAGTCCATAACCCTGAAGACCTTAGCCAAAACTCAAAATACCTCTAAAAAGGTCTGTAAATGTGCAAACCAGTACAGTCAGAAGCATACAGAGTGTATTTGAAAGACCTCAACAATATCCAAGTCAACCAATTTTCCAGAATTCACTAACCACACACCAATAATAACCAGAGACTGAAGCAAGGAGATCAAAACAGTACTGGAGGTAAAACTCACAGATCTGGTTTTTGTTTTCCTTAAAAAAAGCAGCCAAATAGATTAAAGATTAATACAGTTCATAACAAAAAGCCACTATTACAAATTGAAAGTGCACAATACCTCTTAAAATGCTTAATTGTCCAGTAAACATCAGATTTATACATTGTGACAATCACTTAATAAGATGGTAACCTGATGAAGATGGATCAATTAGTCATGCAGAGGCTATACTGGAACCAGGGACCATGAAAAGACTTAAGAACTGGAGATAGAAATAAAAGCTGCATATGAAGATAGCCAAGCAATCATATCTGTTTTCATCCAGTAGCAGGAAGTATGAGGATAGAGGAGACATTTTTATTTTGTGCTGTGCAAACATCACACAAGGTACTTCACGAGAAGAGAATGATTTCCAAAAATGCTGTGAAACTCCACAATTCAAAAAAATGTCTTTCAAGCATCCTATTCTAAGCTTAAACTTAAAATAAATACAAACAGCAAGAAGTCATGAAATGCTATAAAAAGATGGAAGGGTTTAGGATTCTCTGCATGATGAGGTTTTTTTGTTTGTTTTTGTTTTGTGGACCCCAAAGCCAGGCAAAAGCCCAGTCCAGACGGACAAAGTGAAAGGGAAAATAATTGTCTTACTAATGTACTTTCCACACTCAGTATAGAACACCAAAAGTTGTTGGGTGCTCTTCTGTAGTGTTGGTACTTCTAATGGTGCACAGGGTACCACTGGCTGTTATATCCATGCCCAAGGAATGGATATAATGACAGCACTGTCAGTACTTCCATCTTGCACAAAGCCCTTCATTGGTCACAGCAACAGCTCTCGTTAAACCCTTGAGTTTTTCTCACTAACATGACAGGGAATCTGGAGTCAAGTGTCCAAAAGAGGAAAATGAGAAAAATAAGGCATTTTTTGAGATCTCTAAGACATACTAAAATGAAACAAATATTCCTAAAATTCCTATAAGATGTTTTAATTCAGAAGGAGTGGCTTATCTAGAATTGCCTCCACTCTAACTCATGTCTCAGGAAAACACTGCCTTTGACTTTTAAAGAAATACCTGAAAGACCTTTAGAATGTTTTTTCATTTTTATTCCCATGTATTAAGCCACTCACAAACTCTGTATCAATAAAAATGCTGTTCTATAAGATAGTTCACAAAGTCAGTAGAAATAAAATAATTCACTAGTAAATCTGATAGACTCCATCAGAAAGTCTTTAAGTCTATTTCACTATGTCTGATAAAACTTTGTACATGCAAATGCTCACTTACATGCCATTCACTGAAAATTCACAGAAGCAGTTTTTTCACAAAAAAAAATTATGAGATTCAGCTCAAAAGTTATACTGCTGTTCAAATGTCCTGTTACCATTATAAAGTTTTCTGATTCTGTTCTATATGCCACATTTTCCACTTACCCTGGAGCCATAAAAGCTGCAAGGCCGCCAAAGGAGTTTCCACTTCAACAGGTCTTCTTAGGTCAAGAGGAAATCCAAAGGAGTTTCCACTTCAACAGGTCTTCAGAGGAAACCTAAATGCAGTTTATAGACACAGTAATGTATAGAGTCAGAATCAGACAGAACACATTGGGCAAATTTTGTCCATGCTTTCTTATTTTCACCTCTAGAAGGTATGAAGCTGTGGGGTTCAACTCAAGGCACGAATGCTGTTAGTGTGTTTTGAGAAGACAAATGGCTGAAAAATTACTTCCCTATCCTGATTTGTCTCTCTTCTCCTGAAAAAAAGGTAATTTCTTCAGCTCTACAATATTTCCAGTGTGTATAGATGTATGAAAATAGCATACTTCTTGAGAAATTCTATTAATCAGAGATCTAATTTGGATAATAAATAAATTTGTCTTTAGAAAAAAGACTGGAAATTCGATTTTTTTAGTCCTCTACAAAAAACAGCTTGTGCAAAGCAAATGCCCACAGATATTAGCAAAGTTTAATCTCGAAAGACATCACTTTGGATTCTATTACGAAAAATAAAATATAACCAGTTTGGTTAACTTTTACTCTGCTTATTCTCAACTTCACTCTGCATCTTCAGTTTCATAGAATGGTTTGTGCTTGAAGATCATCTACTTCCAATGCCCCTGATATGGGCAGGGATGGCATTCACTAGATCAGGTTGTTCAGGGCCCCATCTAACCTGGCCTTAACCACTTTCAGGGATGCTGTATCCACAGATTCTTTGGGCAACCTGTTACAGTGCCTCACCATCCTCTGAGTAAAGAATTTCTTCCTAATATCTAAATTAAACAGCCCTCTCTCAGTTAAAACCATTGCCCCTTGTCCTGTTACTATCTGCCCATATAACAAATTCCTCTCTCTCCTTTTATGCACACAGAGAATTTGACAGTTGCAGAGCAATTAAGCTGAACTTCTGATACATCTCTGTACTTCAATATAAATAAAAGAAAAACAAACTGCCTGAGAGGATGGAGCAAAAGTACATTCAGAAGTGAATAAGCAATAGCATGGACAAATTTAAGTTAATGTAAGAAAGACCATAGAAAAACAGGAAGAAAATCTGTGCAGGAAAGCTCAGCATTGCCAGACATTTACTCCCCTGTCCTTTTTAGTTAACCTGAAAGCATGGCAGGGCTGACAAAAAGCTGCTCTTCTGACAACTTTCTAGATTCTCCTGTTAGATCACTGTTAAGTGGTACTGGCAATGTAATATTTCGGGACCTGGAAGCAGAGAAGCATGCAACCAGACTCAAGGCATGCAGCAAAAAGCTAAGGTAACTGGAAGCTGAACCAATTTGCACCTCCACCAAATAGTGGCAAGTGCCAAGAGCTGGCTGCTTGGCCGAGGAGCTGGGAGTCTGGGCACAAGGACAAACCAGTGGGGCTGAGCTGATGCACAGCCCCCAAGTGATGGGGAGCTCCAGGCACCCCAACACCACAACCCCAGGCTAATGGCTGCACCATGCCAGAGCTGGATATCAGTGTAGGCAGACAAGAACTGGGGAGAAGGCTGGATTGCAATGTCCCAAGGGCCCTGACATGAACTTCACAAGATTCATACTCTGCCCATATTGCCCTATCTGACCAAATATCTGAGATGTTTGGGGAACCTGCAAAACAAATGGAAAATGTGCTAAAAGGAGAAAAGCATTAATAAAGAGCAGAAGAAAGAGCAGAGGAAAAATGCCAGCTCTATGGCTCTCAGCCATTTTGTAGAGATGCAGCCAATCATTGATAAAATTTATTGTTCTTTTGAGCTTCAGTTATGATGGCACTGGAACTGATCATGATGCTTGGAGACAACAAGGCATTCTTATAAGAAACTATCTCTGGCAGCTGTAGTTACAACACAGATAATATGCTGCATACTATTTCAACACGTCTGCTCAGTGCTGTATAGAAGATGAGATCATTATTCACCTGTTTGACCTGTGGGATATGGTAGGGCTATTCTGTGACAGCAACTTGTTCTTTGGCCACAATCTTCATTGTGGTCCTGGCTGTTTCCTGCACGAGGCTGTTTTCTGACTGTCCACTGTCTTCCATCACTGCTCTGCAGCAATCAATAGGTCTCTGCAAAAAGACAGTAATAGTGCAATTAACTTCTGACAATTCTGACATTGTAAAACAAGGATTATTAATATTCCCAAGGATGATCACTCTAACCTAGCCGTGTAAATCTGGCAGTAAATAGCATGTCTCACATAAAGTAATATAAAATTTGGAATAAAATAAAATAAATTGGTGGTAATTAATCATACTTTGGAACGTTGAAATTCTTGCATTAATTTTAAAGTGGGCAACAGCATCTAGTGTGTAATGATGATAGTGTAACAAATCTCCCTCTGAAACAGAGATGCCTGCACAAAAGGCTGTGCCATTCAACAACATGAAGTTCTGTTTCATAGCTGAACTCTTTAGTTCACATTTTATTTTTTCCTTTTTTTTTTAACCTGGGACTATTTAATCCAATTGTTTACTATGACCTAATTTATAGCAAAAGTCAAAGAGTCCTACTGAGTTATGTCTGCATCAACTTGCTGTGGAAAATGTAGACATTTCCTTTTTCCTTCTTGAAAAAAAATGAACAATATAAAGGAATTGATAAAATCTGTTTCCACTCACTAATGCCTCAGCCTAAAATTACAGGTTTCTTCTGCAATGATCTTGGTGATGTGGTTTGGATGCACAGGTGGTTGCCATGAAGAAACATCTATAGCTACAGGTAAAGCAGTAGAGGTTGCCGGTGCAGGTTACCTGAACACAGCTCAATCACTAGCTTGTGATGGTCCTCTGTGTTTAATCATCTGTGTGATTCCCGCAGAGTTTTACCTGTAGCAATTGAAGCAGGAGTTCAGGAAATTAAACATTACAAAGGAAGACTACCTAAGAAAAAGAGAAAAAAAAGATTAACAGTTCAATACAAGCTTCATAATGACTATGTATCTCTAATGACTATGTATCTCAAGATTCCGCAGGATGTTGCCTGGTCTGTGCAAGAAAATGACAAATGAATGCTATTTAACATTTTGCTTGAATAGTTTTCCCATTCAGAAAACCATCTGAAATACAGTAATGAGAAAAGCAGAACTGTGAAGCATTTTATAAGGCTGATTACCTTTCTAGGACATATAATCTGATACATGCTTTGTTTATCCAGATTAAATTCAGTAGTTGAAAAGATTAATTGAACGTATTTATGCTACTTGTACATGTTCTCACAAAGTTACTTTTTGTTTCTTATTATTGACTCTTGCACAAGAGCCTGCAATACACCACCAAGAGTAAATTTTCTATATTTAGTAGTTCATAAATCTTACAAGACACCAATCCATCCAGTAGTTTGTTGTTTGGGGCTTTTTCCTTCTTTTGTATACCCAAATAAAACAGGAATGCATGCAGGAGATGCACAGTGTTCGCTTTTGCTTTTCTCCTCTCCAAGGGTACAAGAGGCATCTGTCAGTTTACTCGTGCTCTACCCCCTACTCTCACTCCCTCTCTCCCCATAAACATAATGCACACAGGTGAGCATACACATACGTGTGCATGTATGTACATTCATTTTTGACTCTTCAGCTAATGGACAAGAAACTGCTATGACTTCAAGGCTCTCTGTTTTGGAGGAGCTGTGTGACCTGGCTCATGTAATTTGCTGAGGATTAAATTTACCATCCCAGCAACACACACGAGGGTGGATGATCGTCTAAAAAAAGTTATGCTCTGCATGTCTTTTCCCCTATGCACTTGATGCTCATCTCAATGCCTTGGACAGCAGCTTGTCACTTTGTTGTGACTTGTTCTACATGTAACACACTGGATGGGTATCTGATCTCTAATGGCTACAGGTTTTCAAAAGATTAAGTATTTTTGCCACACACACTGTTTCATATGTTATTCATCAGGACTAGAGACTAACTTAGATGTGTAGTTGGTCATTCCACACCTTGAGCAAAAAATTTTTCAGGACTCAGCATTCCTAAGAATCCTAAGAGGGGACTTTTCCTCAGCCCTTGCAGATAACAAAAGGCTTGCTTCAGTTTATTTAGTTCCCGTTTTGGAGACCAGTCACAACATACCTAGATGAGCAGGTTGCCTAGCTAGGCTTGGGATGTTTCCAGGTCTTCTGTCGCTCCACGCCAAAGGCCATGAAATATAAATACAACTTTTATATTTATATAAATATAAAACTACTATCTGTTGAATTGCAGATAGTTACAGCTTACTGGAAACTGACACTTGAAACTTCTTAAAACTGAGTCACTGAGCATCTGTGGCACTGCTGATGATTCATCTACCAGTAAAATGTTCCATAGATATGCATGACCACAGCAGCAGCATTTTCTGCAGCCACCTTTTGGATTCTGGTCTAGTTTGGAGACAGAAACATGCTTCATCCCTGCAGTTTCCCTTCAATGTGATGAACCTTAGAATCTCATTTGAAGCACACCAGGTGGGTACCAAAGGAGGCCCATGCAGAGCACCCTGGGTTATGATGTATTTCTGACAGGCTGAACCGGAAACAAAATCCCTGGCCTACATGAGTGAGCTCCGCGTGCATGTACAGCAAGATAACTCTGCTGGGTTTATTTTAACTCTGCTCTCCTGAGATTTCAAGTTACCTCAGTTACCTCAGCGTGAGAGACTGGAGAAATCATTACTTGCTCAAAACAACCAAAGTGTGTGTCTGTGTGGCAGGGTGGCAAGGCAAGCTCTGCAGAAAGTGGGATGATGCACTTCTCCATATCCCACCTCCCTGGAGCCTCCAGTCCAGCTCCAGAACAGTTATCAGCCATTGGCACACCAGAAGCCCCATGTGGAGGGGAGGGTTCCAGGAGGCCAATGCAGATAAAACCAGTTGCACAAACACCCTCTCTCTGACTTCTTCTTGAGATCTAGGTAACTTAAAGATGGATGGGTTAGAGTTCGATAAGTCAATGCCTTTGAAATGCTTTATGTTGATTGAATGTTTTAAAATTTG